ATAGTTAAGTAAAGTGATGGTTAAGTAAAGCGATGGTACAGTAAAGCGCTGGTAAATTAAAGCGATGGTTAAGTATACCGATGGTAAAGTAAATGCCTGGCCGCAGTTAAGCAGTGTTGCATTGTTCCCGAAAGCCGTGCTTATAAAGTAAATAGAGACGTACACTTGAACGACCTTCAAATGACACTCAAATGACACTCTATCCACTTGATAGAGCGTGACCTACCCCTACATAAGGCAAGATCTAAGACCTACCCAGTTCTGTACATGGTCACCTCACTCGGCATTCCTTATACAAACGGCGAGACGTGGCCACACCAGCGCAGGGTAAAGAACTGGTCGTGGGCACCGTAACAATGGAGCGAGAATCGTTCTCGTCACATCTTCTTCAACGCCCACAATGCACTCCAAATGCAGTCAATCGTGATACCATACCCATTGTGAATAGCATGTATTTCATGGTATCGTAACCTTTGTAGTTTTCGTTCGCTTTTAATAATGTCAGCGAATATTACGAAATTTAAAGAGCCCCTAATTTTCTCTGATAATGCACCCTTGAATCGAATTCTCTAACGAATAAATTCAACCATATTGATTGTGCATTGATCCTATAGTGGCTAACATTATAATCTTTTATATTAAGACCTGCATGACTTAAGATAATATGTTTAGACTCCAACCAAATTTAGCAGCTAAACATCGGAAGAAACGATCTCATAGAATGACAACCTCCCAAATTACCCAGTCTCATGTCAAAAGTTTTAAACACTTGATGATGCAGTGGAGTAAGTTTAAAGAGATCGCATGGGCCGCTGTTCCAATTTTAATAACAGTTTCTAGAGATGGTGACGTCGCAGGCCATTAACACAGCTATATAATAGTGACATAAAATATCAACTCAGGCAAACAGAACCCATCCAGTATAGTAATACAATCAAAACATTACATCACGAGATCAAGATGAAAGAAATTACCTAGGAAAATTAAGAAAACGAGCTTACGAACTCCATTTCCGACTTTGGACTTAATAAGAATAAATTATTACAATATAACACCACGTATAACAATATCAACAACGAATTTATTACCTACAAAACAGTAGTGCATGACGATGAAGACAACTGCAAAAAATACGGGAGACGTTCGCCGACAACAGCAGCGTTGCGAATCAAAAGCACACAAAATCTACGATAAAATCAGAAATATATCTATATACTGTATATGTACACCCATAGCAGCAACATAAGTATGACACTAACACTAAAATAGCAGCCAACAACAAAAGCACACTTACAACAGCATCAAGTCAGCACAATAACTATTATACAATTAGAACATCAAGAACAGCCCGTGGATATAGCAAGAGCAGCAGTTCTATATTTATTTCGCCTCTAGCACCGGACACTAGAAAGCGTGCCTAGTCCTGCACATCTCGCTTCTCTAAATACTGCTAACATCTCTAAACTAATCTTACTTCTCTAGACACAACACACTTCAACACTTCTAGACCTATTGCACTTCTCTAGACACAACACACTTCAACACTTCTAGACCTATTTCACTTCTCTAGACACAACACACTTCAACACCTGTCTCTTATACACATCTAGATGTGTATAAGAGACAGTTCCCAGACAGAGCTCTGTCAGCGGTTTCATTTACCGTTTGTGCCTTCCCAGACAGAGCTCTGTCAGCGGTTTCATTTACCGTTTGTGCCTTCCCAGACAGAGCTCTGTTAGCGGTTTCATGTACCGTTTGTGCCTTCCCAGACAGAGCTCTGTCAGCGGTCCAATTCACCGTTTGTGATGAGCATTTCACGAGCTTCTATAACAAAGGCGCGCCTACACAGCAACAACATTGCGCTTGCATAGCTTGGTTAAGATGATGAGGTAATACATATAACCTGCATAAATGCACAAGATTATTTGTTCAATTCTATCAACTGACGTAAAGTTGGGAGAAGTTGAGACCCTCGTCAATATATTGTTTGTGCAATAAGCCATATTCTGGAATTATGGATGCCTTAATTTATTTTATAACTTGGTCAGATTTTATAGCTTATTTTATGTGAGGTAGCCGGTCTGGTTCAACACAACTGTCGTTATTTAAAGTATATTAGGTGTACACAAAGCAAGTAGGTATTGAAAGTAAAAAAAAAGTATTAAACGTAAAAAAGTATTACGCGTAAAAAATATTAAAAGTAAAAAGTTATAATAGTAAAAATATTTAACGTTAAAAAGTATTAGAAGTAAAAAAGTGGACATTTTTTGAGGTTAAATTCTTTCGATAGCGCAAAAAAAATTTTTAGCAGTGCAAATTAAATATATGTACGAAAAGTTATTGAATTACATTTTTTTAAATATTGCTTAATTTATTATCTTCATTCACCGAATGATTGCCCCGGATGCTTTGGTCATTAAGTTCTCAACTAATCCTGATATTCATAGCTTTAGTCAGGGCCATCAAATTCAGATTTAAATAAATCTAAACTTGGTTATCATTGACGGAATAGAATAATTTTAAAGACAGTGTAAAGTTACCTCAAATCGTCGTTAAGTGCTACGTCGTCTGCCTACCTGATGAAGGAAAGATATAATTACTAGCGTAATTTTATGCAGACGAGGTCAATAAATTGCCTTGAATTGCGGCTCAATTTAGATGATTGCTGTTCTGGCTTCATGATTTGTTAAAAATGTATATGTGACTAACAGATTTAGTGTACATGAAATCTGTCAGTCATATGAAAATATTCCTGCAGCTCACCATAAAATCTGTCAGTCACATAAAAATATGTATGTTACTGACAGATTTAGCATAATTACATAAAAAAATCCTTCCGACAAAAAATAAAATATGAATTTTTCTGTTTACCCAATTCATCTGATTCGCTAAACACGTTCAAGATGGACGTAAATTTTGAAAATGGGTTCAAACGGAAGAAATTTCAATAGATATATTTTGTTTCTCGATACAGGTCTTTCAAAGCAGAAATTTTCATAAAATATCGAGTGAAGAGTATAAAAAATCTTTTTGAAATAATCGCTTCTAATTTCTCACTCTGAAAGGAAGAAAACGACCACTGCACGCACTTACACAGAGAATTACTCTCAAATAAATTCTCGAAGCACTTTCACCATGAGCGATGGTAAAGTAAAGCGCTGGTACAGTAAAGCGCTGGTAAATTAAAACGATGGTTAAGTAAAGTGATGGTAAATTAAAACGATAGTTAAGTAAAGTGATGGTTAAGTAAAGCGATGGTACAGTAAAGTGATGGTACAGTAAAGCGCTGGTAAATTAAAACGATAGTTAAGTAAAGTGATGGTTAAGTAAAGCGATGGTACAGTAAAGCGCTGGTAAATTAAAACGATAGTTAAGTAAAGCGATGGTTAAGTAAAGTGATGGTACAGTAAAGCGCTGGTAAATTAAAACGATAGTTAAGTAAAGCGATGGTTAAGTAAAGTGATGNCTAGACGCGCCTCAATACTCTAGACGCGCCTCAATACTCTAGACGCGCCTCAATACTCTAGACGTGCCTCAATACTCTAGACACACCTCTATACTCTAGACGCGCCTCAATACTCTAGACGCATCTGTCAAGCGGATCGAAATAGAATGATTGATGAGGATCGTCTAATTCTTCCACCACTTCATTTCTGTAATAAAAATTTCTGCATTCGTTGGTGCACTTGGCCCGTATAAGAACTTGCCAGGGCATATTCGAGTATACACTACTTTTTCCGCCCAAAATATTCTTCATGATAATTGATAATTATTACATAAATAATTTATAACACTTCTTATAGCGAGCTCCTCATTGAGCAAAGGTATAGTTTCCACACGGGCGATGCCCTTGTTAAATAGCGCAACAGATCCTATGGATTAAAGCGCTGGAACATGAAGGTCGACGCTAATTCCCGACAAGAACATTTACGCACATCAGTCGATCATTCGGCCTCGCTATAGTAGCATCCACGTGCGCTCAAGACTTTTGACTTTTAAACTAAAGTAGAAGACAACTGAAAATAAATAGGTAATTTTCCGTTAACCTCCATATTCAATGCAATTTCATATGGACCTCTAGACTCTAGAGTATTGGATACTGAAATCGATCTCAATTCCGCACATTCATCTAATCGATAACTCGTGCCACTAGTGAGTGTTTTCAGTTCGACTGAAACGGTACTCAATCATTGCCTCATTGAAGCAGATACTTTCGCAGTCATTACAGCCTTACAGGAATATGTAAAATTATGCCGGGCCTGGAAATTTGTTGAGATAACTACTTCTTATACGCATTGAAATCGCCAACAATGAAAATGATACCGAGAAATACAAAGTGAAACGTTCATAACGAATTAGCAGGACTGCTAGGACAATTCTATTGGGCTCAAATTGACACTCCTCGCGGCAAATTTTATAACCGTTTTGGAGTTCACCTAAAATGTAGTTAACAAGTTAACATCTACTTATCTCGCAGTTAAGGCAACATGAAGTTTTTTCTTAAAAAATGATGAGAATAATTGCAAAAAAACGGTCAAAAATTCTAACTTGTAAAGTTGTGAAGAATCACATGTTTCACTAGTCATTCCTGACGAGTGAGATCCAGACGACCACAAAACAGTTTTGAGTCTATGCTCACTGACTTGATTCAGCTGGAAACATGTGCGAGTCTAAAAAAACAGTCGCGTTATAAAAATAATGGCAAATCTTCGAGGCATGAAATTGAGTAAAATGAGCAAGTTCGTTCAAGAACTTGCCTGCGTTGCCATTCAGTTCGACGAGACGCTAGTTACAGGCGGCTGGCAAAGCCTGAGCCGTGACGCTGTCGTCAAAACCTAACCACGCTCACAGGGATCTGGTTTCTCGTCTTCATTGTTTGATAGCCTCGAGTCTCGGTATATTGCATCTTCTTTAGATTCATTATCACATATTCATGTATAGTTAAGAAACCTGAACAGTTAATATCTTCAGTACAACAGCGCACTGAACTGATCACTCACCTCTGCCATATCCTTGTGTGTGTTTAGCGAAGCTGTTGACAACGGCATCGACGGCTTCCTTCAATATCGTCTTGGCTCGCTGATCGTGAACTCCTGAAGTGGCTGACGGGGGGCGGGGTCCTCCTAGAACTGCGGCAGCTCCCCCAACCTTGGCAGAATTGGCAGAGGCTGCTCCATGCGCAGCAGCGGCGGCCGCCGCGGAGTTACGAGCAGAGTGCATGCGGCTACTCATAGCACAAACGCTCCCTCTTGCAAACAAGCAGCGAGAGCAAACAGCAACAAACACGGCAGGACGAGCAACAGGTCAAGAAGCAACAACTGCTAACTAACACCTACAAACTTTTCTTATTATTCTTCAGTGGAACGTTCAAGTACTCTGACGATCTCGAATGTTTATCACTTTAGAGATCACCATTAAAGCATTTATCACTCAGAAGGTTCCTAGAAAGTCTGCAGATTCGAATCACTGAAATCAATAGAAGCAGTAACGAGACGTGAGCAATCACCACAGATCTCAATTCACTGGATTAAGGAGAAGAGTTTTGTTTAAAGTGAGCAAGCAAGCACCTCGGTGAGGCAGAGGAGGCTAGCGCTACTACTCTTCTACCTCAACGCATGCTAGCGATGTGGCTTCAGTCACCAGACTGAGCACCAGCTTCTTTCGATCCTGGACCACTTGTTCTGCCTCCTCCTTTACATCGACTTCCTCCTTAGTTCCCTCCTCACTTGAGTCGCGCCCCACCCATCACACCGACTCAACAACCCACCCCTTCTCTACCCACGCCCACCTCCTCCCACGCTTGTGGGTGTCTTGCCCACCCCTGCCGTCTGTTTCTCCAACGCACACACCGCCACCACAAGCCAGGCAATGACCACAGTCGATAATTTCGAGCGCATTTTCCAACAATTTGAAGCGTTATAGATTGCGAAGCAACGCATGTTATTCATTAAATATGGCGACTTTGCAAAATTCAACTGTTTATATTTCAGATTGGCGATAGGAATAAAGTGAAGAATTCTACTTTATTTTCTGAGCAGTTCTAAGAAACCGTTGTTAATTTGTAACAAACAATTTTTATGGATGGCCATAATAGCCGGAATGTTCCGCTGAAGTCATAGGGTATTATCCACGCCTTGTGGCACATTAGTAACACAAAAGAACTTCCTCTCCAAAATGGGTCTCGACATTTTTCATGGGGGATTAATCGATCAGCTTCGCATTGAACACTTGACGTGTGTTAATTTGCTCTATATTTGCTCCCTATTTTCCAACATGTGTTTAGGAATTAAAACTTGACTTATTTTTATCGTATTAATCTCAAGTGCACTCAAGGCTGACATCGAACATGTTAATTAGCAACAGATTACATATGCACAAATGTGCTACGAAGTCCCCCTTAATACTTATTACAAGAAAAAGAAATTCTTTAAAACAAGACAGCTAACGATGGTGGAGGGGAGCTGTCGGTCTGAGCTTTTGTGCCCAAGTCGAGGTCGTTGGGCTGCTCGAAGCAAGGTCAAGCGAATCCGTGTCTAGTTAAAATCTTTACCGAGTTCGTATTTTATATAAATACTGAAGCTCAAGCAAGCAAGCGTGCAACACTTGTTAAAATGAAGAAACCTGCGTGTGCTAGACTCAACATTAACGTCATGTATGCCAATAAATAAATGTCTGGTCTCTGTATCGGTATATACATAAGATGATCACGCATGCGGCTCTGCAATCTAGTGAATATTATACTAAGAGCACAGAATAAACTGAGACAGGAAAGGTACATCAAGTAGAGCACAGAACTTATCTTCAAAAGATCCTACTATAAAGGACAATAGTACTGTAAAGTGTCTAAGATAAATTGCAACAGGAAAGCGATATCAAGTAAAGCACAAACTTATCTCTTGGAGATCATAATATACAATATTAATGTGGCCTTGTGCAACTTGAAGCGAGCCTCGAGAGCTCGCTGCCACTTGTTAACAAGTCTCATAGGTCCAAGCGACATGAGCAATTTCAAGTATTGCTCAGCGGGGAGTCGAGAGCTTCCCTTAATAATGTATTTGGGGGTAATTGCTGCGATGAAAGCACTTCATTGATGTCGCTCCGGTCGCTGCACTCTAGACACACCTCTCTTCTTCTAACTTACTGTATTCCCTGTTTCGAAATACACCGAGGAAATATGAAGCCTAAATGTCTTCTTTTAAACCTTGGATTTTTATACAAGATAGTTGAACTGCGCTTTGTTATTATTATTTATTAACGTCATTAAACTTTACATTTTTTTAATACATCAGAATATAATGTCATCATAAATGACGCTACAGTTAATATTGAGCACACCGAATAAATGACTAAAGCATACTCATGCCGGTAACTATAATCCTAAATTTTCATGCTCTGGAAACTGCAAGAACTTGTAAGAGCTGTTCGCCTCGCTCATCATGACTGCTGGAGGTCAACATGGATTTCGCATCCATGCAATTGTCAAGTTTAAGACGAGTACGTGAGAACAAATCTTGATCAATGGTTACTGTTGCATCGATGTTATGATGCAGCTCAAGACGATCTTGTTCGACTTGATATTATTTGAAGAATTATTCCCGTCACGCAATCTCCAACTGATTTAATAGACGTATCTCCTGCGCAAATGCTTCCCGAAGAACTCTATTTTACAGATATAACAAATAATTGCTAATATTCTTTTATTGATTTACGATTATTTTTACCTTTACAATTCATTTGAGAAAACAACCCATAGGGAATAATTTTGATAGATACGATAGATTAGCGATAAATACGATGATTACCGCCAAAATTGAATTTATTTTACCGCCGTCATGAATTTAATTTCAGTCCGTTGCCCTGAAGTCTCGACAGCTAGAGAGCTGCTCGCTCGCGCTGCTATCATACATGCACTGAATGTGGTCTGCGGTTACTAAAAACTTCTCATCCAAGGAGAAATCTGAACTAAAGCTTACTAAATTTCTAGTTGAATTATGCGTCGTGGTTATTTACGAAAACTTGGGGACTCTGAAATTTAAAAGACGTCTGCTGTGAATAGCGTGTCTTAATAAGATTAAAAGTTTCCGAGTAAAGAAAGATTATTTTTAAGATTCATGGGTATGAATTTAAGTGGTTTGAAAATCTTAGTTTTAGTCTGTGTCATATTTTAGGGTGTTTGTATGTGTGTACATATGCAGTCTGGCTATGCGAATATACGTGCACTATTCAAGCGTGTCTGGCAATACGTATCGCATCGGGATTATATTGAGGATAACATTTTATTTTTCAAATGTGGAAGAAATCACGTTGCATCGTCGAACGAAAATTACATTACTGGCTCGAAATTATAAAAAATTTTGAATTAATAGCACCTGAAATAATATTGAAGTTTACAAATATGTGCCAAAGGAAGGTTCTTCGGTAAATGGTCTTTGAAGGATCATTCTATATTTAAGATTAAATTTGCTTAAGAAAGATCGTGATTGCTGGAAAAATTCGATAAAGATATTCTCAAATATCATCAATGATTTATTATTAACCAAGCTTAGGTATTTATGAAAATCTTTGGAAAGATTTATACATGTTATGCAAGGAGTGCAAAAAAAAACTAAGTATATTAAGTTTCTAAACTAATTAAATTCTTCAATTTATGCGTGTTACTCATTTGCAGTTATACAACTGACTGCCGCCTAACTAATGTATTGAAAATGATGTTAATTATGTGATTGTATTTTTAGTATAATTAAATTAAAACTCGTGCGCCGTGTCGCGATTCATAGACAGCTTTTTGATAAGAAACACTCGGCAGAAAATTTGAACCATTCGGGTTTGATCTAAATTACTGAAAAAAAAATCAGTTGAATGAATAATGGTTATAAGTAGTAACTCCATATAATCAAGGGCTGAGATTATAGTTTGTCGAACTATTCTTACCATTGAAAGTAGCAATGCTGGTCTAGTTTTTATGTCGAAGCCAGCCCGGAAATATGGGGGAAATATAAGGTTTAATTTACCAATTTACTCCCTTCACGCTGACTGAATTAATATGAGCTCGTAACTATATCATGCCCTAGAAATAGATTACTTTTAAGTGGCTGCATCACATTCATACAGGAAATTTATCTTAATTCAATTTAAAGCGTACCGCGTATATAGGAGCCATCACCTCTCTCAATGAATGCATGTGCTCTGCTTGGCTTGCTTAGTTTGCTCCATGAAACCGTAAACATAACAGACAGACTAAATTTATGCAGTGTTTTTTCTCTTTATCACATTCGAGAGATTTAAAATCAAGCTGAAAATTCGCGAGAGATGTAGAAAAATTTGCAATAATTTTTTACTGAGCTATGGCTGTCTTCTGCCTCGATAGAGTGCTGGAAACGTGCCAATTAGGCCGAATAGAGCATCGCTAGCAATACAATCACTGCCAATCATACTCATGAAACCTCCTTTCTAATTTTCTCCGCCTGAATATCTTGAGAAATTTTCAGACTCACTGATTATTTTTTATTCCTTCGTATGATATTCGTTGAAAACGCCACTTCAGAGCATATATATCCTACTGGGAAAATTATTTTAATTTGCATTTCTGGTATAAGGAAAAATTCCAGTTTTCTTATCTCAGAGCATCTTCTGCTGGCTAAATTCTATTCCATATCTCTCATTTAACTCCTCATTTCTCCTCTGCTTAATAATTCTTCTCAATTGGCGTCTCCTTTGTCATGACTTGCTGGCAAAATTTTTGCTCAACCCCTTAATTGTACGGGATTTTGGCTTGTCCATGAGTTAAGGGCTCATAAACTTCCCGATAAACCCCCCTTGAACGCAAAATGATAAATAGATTACGTCGCTACACTTTTAGGCCATAGATTTCTCTTTGAGGAGCAATCGCTAAGTCCATTGGAAGCACGACAAGAGCCTCGCTCACACGACCTATCCTGGCCTCCGCGGCGCCATGCCGCATACTCTTTTAACTGCATTTTTCTATTTTCTATCGAGAATAGTAAGAGCGCATAAGAGAGAGTCCGTCAGTATTAAATCCACCAGAAAACGCGAGGAATCAGAATGTGCAGGAAAAAAGGACCAAATTAAGGGTTGCATCCTTCACTCGTTTCTATACTCTGAAATTTTTAAAGCTTCCAAACGGAGTTTCGTTTGATGTACACCCGTGTATATTATTTGCGATGAAGCGATAGCGTCTCAGACATTGGCTTCCACTTCTTTTTGTTCCCAAGAATTGCGCATTTAAATTCTAGTTTGAAGAATTTGAGGTCAGTTCTGATTTTCAACGGGAGGCTCATTAGATGCGGTTAGTAATTTCTAGGAAATACTTAGCCATCGGCATAAGTAAAATTAGTTTAGTGAAATGTTTATGTTTTCTGATTCAACTACCAAATTATTTCAATTTATTTTTATAAAAATTATTGTTTTCTTTCGTTCACTATGATTTCTTGATTATTTCTTGTCAATTTTGCTTGATTTTGGCGAAGGATTTCATTGCCCAGCGAGTGACAATCCTCTTCCGGCAATTTGTGCGAGCAATTCCCTGACTAATTCTCGTATAATGTTATTCACGTCAATAATATACTTTAAAAGTCATTAGGCAAATCGTATTGTTTGAATTCATAAAAAATTATTATATAAACTTCCATTTGCAAGCTATA